AACATCTAACTTTGTGTAAATGTAAAGATGTGTTTGATAAGGCAATGCACTAACAGAATAAACAAAGATGAGAATTCTAACAGTGCTCATTTTAACTGTACCTAAATAAAACCCAACACTGGGTTGCACAATCCTCAGTCTCCACTACTACAGGAGACAATGGTGGGAAAGTTCATATTTAATTCATTGATTCTCTTGTCTAAAATAACATCCATAGATCACAGAAAAAGAATAAAAATAAGAGTCAGAAAGAGTAAAAATTATGGTTACATTTTTTAGTCTTGTATAATTCACTTCAATTTACTTTTTTATTATTATTAAAGGATGTTGCTGATCTTTGCAAATGCAGGGTCAGAGAGAACCCTAATAGCCAACCATTCCTGTTATAGATACGGGTGTTTTAATGAAGTTTCCAGTAAATGGGGGGTTGTTTCTGTTGCTATTTTCATTCAAAGTTATCTAACAAGTGCACCCCTCACATAATCCCCCAACCAAAGCTCACACTTATATTGTCATTGATTGCCAGGACCTGACCTCACCTAATCTGCCAAAAAATCATGGAACAGAGAAGTTCAAAATACATCCAGTGTAACCTTTCAAATTAAAATTGTTGTGAAGGATATCCTTTAGCCTTATGTGCACAGGAGTGCTTCTAAATTAGTGAGGGGATGGAAAAGACAGTCTCCGGATTAATTCCAGTTATAGGATTCTCTACTGCTATTCAATCCATTAATATCTGGCTCAATTAATGTGATTTTAACTTTTCCTAGCCTCAGAACAAAAATGACTTAAACATCAATGTAATTTCTGTTCTTTCCCTTCATCATCAGCTTTTTAATAAGAAAGGACCGCTAGATTCAAGTAATTCCCTCCCCTCACCCCAATTAAATGTTCATTTTTATTCATTAGAAATAAGAAATAAGTTTTAAAATGATGCAGTAATCTCTGAACAACAGGTGTCTGGTCCACAAGCCCACACTGCATCAAGTCTGCTGTACTTCTTCCTCATTTCTCAACAGTAATACTTAAGAGAAGGAGACTCTGACTGGCACTCTACTGCTTTGAATTAGTCATGGAGAGGAAAGTAGTAATAGTTGGAAGCTCTAACCTTTTATGACATTTTAGACTGTGAGTATAAGACTGCTACTAAAGTAAGTTCCACAGGCATGTGGGAGCTCTTCGAAGTGGAACTGCAAGAAGAACTGGGAAGGGGAACTGTACACACAGCAGCTCAGACCTACAAACACCCAGCCACCAAAATTAAGAGACAAAACTTCTCACATTCTTTTTACAACTTATATCAATGGATTTCCATTCTGTGAGCCACCATAATATGAATATATGAAATAATTAGGCTACATAACAAGTTAATTAAATATGGGCACTAGTTTGAATCTTCTTAGTTTTTCACTTGTTTCTGAACTTCCTAAGAACCAAGGATGCCTAACTGTGTTCACATGGTATCCACGTTATTCTAATCCAGGTATAAGATATTTACACACAGTACCTATGTATAATTGAACTTTATGATAATGAAAACTTCTGAGGGGTCCACTACCCCTGTTCTTTTCAAGGTACGGGTCATCCATCCAGTGTTTGAAACTCCCATTGTTCTAGGCACATTTTGCGACAGGGAATTTCATTAGTGCAAGCAGTTTCTGAGCTCTGGGTGCAGTACTGCACCTAAAATTTCAGAGTAAAACTGCACAGTGGAAGGAAAGGAGGACCTTTTTATGCCTCCCCACTTCCAGCTACTCTTAAGTATATTAGGGGGGTGGGCTGAGGAAGGACTAGACCATGTGAAAAATGAACATAATATTTTAGCTGCAGTACATTCCTTTTCAGCTTTGTATTCTTATTACAAAAATGTGCGCCTAGAAATTCTGTCGTTGCACCCATAACCTCCTCGCTTTCATACCTCAGTTTCTAACACTGCATCCATCAGGGCAATCAAAGCAGTCTGCTTCATCTAAGAGCAACTGATAAAAAAACAATCTAGCTCCAAATTTGAATCATATTTAAACACTCAGCATGCAATAGACATTGAATCGAAACCTGTAAAATTAAATACAGTCATCTAAAACAACTGAGATTACACTATGAGCAATGTTCCAAAAAGTAAATCTTGCACAATTTGTGCGTTCTGCACAATTATACATGCTTATATTCCTCTGAAATCAATGGGGTGTTAAGTGTGCATATGTACAGCTAAGACTGTAGTTTAAATAAGAATAAGACATTATGTTCCTAATTGATATATAAGTTGTAATGTTTGGTGGACAAAACAAACTTTAAAAAATAAATCAAGTCTAGTTTATAAAACTTTGGCGAAATCCGCATGCTTTAGACTTAAGGGTAAGCTTTAAATCAACATTTAATTAAATCAATTCTAGGTGATACATTCTGGTATATTGTTGTATCATTGCAACCAGTCAAAGATGCAGGGCATTGTTATAGCAATTAGAAGAAATGCCTTTAAAATTAAATACACAGGGAGTTGGTATTATCAGTCACAAGTAACCACAACAGCAGCTCTGGCCTTCCTTCTAGCAGAGAGAAACTATTCTGTGTATCATCTGTAGCAAATTCAGAGAATGATGTTATTAAAGTTATGTTACTCTCTCTGGAAAAAGACTGGAGAAACAAAAATGGAAGATACTGAAGGAGGAGATTGGGATATTATTGTAAACACAACAGGAAATGGAATTTGATCATAATGGGTCATGAACTAAAGGATATATAGTAAAAAAAAGGGGGGGGGAATATTAGCCCAATATGAAATCACAGTGGAGAGATTTTAAAACGGACATGGACGGAAGAATTCACTTTCACTCAATATGGATTAATGGTGGTGGGAAATAATGAAGATAAATCCAATATAAAAATATGGTTGACATTTATCAAGAATAACAACAATTAGAGCTCATTTCCAACTTTGCATGGGGAAAAGCAATGATTCTGAGATACCTTGACTTGACTTGACTTAAAATAAATATTGTTTAACAGAAAGTGGAGAAGATGGATGTTAGCATGAACCAAATGTTTTAAATAATCCTTTTTTTAATTTTATGTTAACTGGCAGGTGGACAATCAGAAGTTTTCTTTTTGTATCTTTCTATAATGTTTCCTTTTCTTTGTCTTTCTCTCTCTCTTTTCTAATTTTCCCTTTCCTTCTATTTTTTCTTCTTTATTTGGAGTCCTATGTCTGGGGACTTTATAATAAAGTCCAGAGATTGTATACTCATGCATGGCAAGCATGTCCAACTTGTTGATCGCGATCTACAAGTCGATCGCAGGTGCCTTTCAGGTTGATTGTTGGATGCAATGAAGAATTGGGGGGGGGGGGGAGCTCAACAACTCTTGGCAATGATAATGGGTAGATCACTACCAGTTTTTTTATACTGGGAGTGGATTGCGATCTTTTGGGAGTTGGATGTGCCTGATGTATGGGATAGCTGCATATCCCTGCATTGCAGAGGGTTGGACTAGATGATCCTCAGGGTCCCTTCCAACTCTACAATTCTATGATTCTATGGCTGATGGAAGACCCTGCGTGAAAGACAGGGAATTGTCAGTCTCCCAGGCTGGGAGGAGAAAGGAAAAATCCCAAATGAGATCTGGGAGGAGCTACTGTTCCTCTGTGAGTGGAAAGGGACAATAATTGCTCCGTATTTTACTTATATGAATTGTATTTATTGTAATTGCTTTTTTTAACTGTATTATGAATTTTTTAAAATAAAAATCTCATTCAGGGAGGAGTGAGAGAAAGAAACTACAGAGCACAATGAGCAATATCCAGCTAAGTTGTACTTAGAGTAGACACAATGAATTTATCCACCTATTTTAATTGGTCTGCTCTGAGTATGACTAACATTTGATATTACCCATTGCACTTAATAAAATATACTAATAGTAACCATACAAATGAAGCCAAAGAGTCACTGAGAGCTTCAATTAATTTGAATAGAAAGATGTGCCAGGAAAAGAAGACCCTTTTACATTTGAGGCCGCATTTATTCTCTAATGCCTATACTGTACTACCTTTCTGACTACTTAGGTTTTTTCTGGAAGGACTTGCATACAACACTTTTCAAAGATGTGCTTGTTGGAGTCATAAACAATAATGTCTGGCTTCTTGAATCATTACAGCAAGCTGTTGGATAACATACTGCATTATAAATGCAATGTATACAGTAAATATTGTGATTAAGCAACTAATTAAATAACAGCCCATTTCATGAGCTGCTGCCCCAAGGATTGGCAAAGACTTTTGCATATGGAAATGGTGAGCTCTCCCAAGCCTGCCATGGATTTACTCAGAAATAATATAATTTATTCTGGAAAAAGGAGGGAAGAAATATTTTCCAAACCCAATCCGAGGGCTTGAGAAAATGGCTCACTGCCCCTGACAGTCCCCTGCCTTACTTAGTCAGCTAGTAGAGAGTTTGGGGGCTTGAAGGGTGCATCTCTCCTTTGAGGCAAGCTTTAACAGGTCCTCAGAATTGTTATCCAAAGCCAAGGTTGGAGACGTTACCAGCACTTCTAAGTATCACAATGAGTTGTACACCAGTATTGTCTCATTAGCCAGAGCAATGCACCAGAACAGAGACATGATAAGCTTCTGCTCAACTGTCTCAACTTTGATATGACTCTATTGCATATATCCTATGAATTAGTACAGTGGTACCTCAGGTTAAGCACTTAATTCGTTCTGGAGGTCCATTCTTAACCTGAAACTGTTCTTAACCTGAAGCACCACTTTAGCTAATGGGGCCTCCCGCTGCCGCCACGAAGCTGGAGAACGATTTCTGTTCTCATCCTGAAGCAAAGTTCTTAACCTGAAGCACTATTTCTGGGTTAGCGGAGTCTATAACCTGAAATGTACGTAACCTGAAGCGTACGTAACCCAAGGTACCACTGTACTATGAATTTATAGTATTTAGGGTTACAGTGGATTTTTTCAGTCTTAAGTATATGGTTACTCAGAAAACTGAATTAGGTGGAGTGAAAAGAGAATTGCTCTTCAAACATGTTGTCCCATATTACAATATATATGAAAAGCAATTCTCTTTCCACTCCACCTAATTCAACTTTGGCCAAATAAAGTATGTTGTTTCCATTTTCTAGCTCATCCTCTAACAAGAATACAGCAGTAATTATTCCATTATCTCCCTCTAAAATGTTCCTCAAAAATGTGTTGTGGATCTGTTGTAATAGGCATGTAGAATTAAAAAAGAAATGAAATACACACATTACGTAAGTTCATTGTTGCATTCATTGTTACAAATCCAACCTAGAGTATACCAGAACATGGATCACTATAGCCAGGCTATCCCAGTTGGAAAAGGCTGCAGCTGAAGAGCTGCCTAAATTTGCAAAGATGTCCACTTTGGGTCTTTAGTGACATAGTGGGATCAAAAAGCACCCCCAAGATGCATACCTATTCCTTCAGGACTGCAGTCCAATCCAGCACACCTAATTCCAAGACTTGGTATCTACCCACAGTGCCTATATCTCCTCAGGTTTCAACTTCAATTTACAGGCCAGTTACCAAGTCCAGGTAACAGTTCACCACTTCCTCACCTGATGCAGATGACAAGGAGAAAAAGAGCTATGTTTCATCAATATGCTGATGACACCTCACTCTAAATCCCCAGTTGAACCTACCACATGGCAGCTTATAGATGCTTCAGAGAATGAAGGAAAAGATGGAATCTTACAGGAATCTACAGCTGAAATGCCATGGAATCTAACAGCATTCCCCCAATGCTGTTTTCTGAAACCAGTCAGTCATGCAGGCACAAGTGGAATCACCATATCACCATGGCTCCCAATCCAGAGAGTCTGTCAAGCAAGCTCCCATTATCAGTATGGTATCTATGCATTATACACAATATTAAAACTGTTAATAAATCCATGAACTTAAGTTTGTACAAGCAAATTATGAAAACATAATCTGAACCCATTTTACATATTTAGGAATGAAAGTTACAAACAGAATGAGTAATAAATATTGCTCCCTCAGCAAATACATTATTATTATTATAGCCCTGCAATTAAACATGCCTGAGGTGAGCAAGAATTGCCTCTAGGCTGCTAAGAAAAGCCTCGCAGCCTAGAAAGAGGACATAAATGCAGTGCAGTACTGCTTCCCACCTAAGGGACTACAGAATTACCATAGATGCTTCCTGCCTTTTCCTCGTCATCTGACAGTGTGCAGCCTGACTGAAAACAACCATAATGGAGAAACATAGCAGGGTGCAATGGCCTCTACCAATACAGTCCCCCCTTCTGCTGCCTCTGTAATATGCCTCTGTTGGAGAGGAGAGCACTGACCAAGAAGAGGAAATGCAAAACATGCCAGTTGCCTCTTCCCAGGGTTATAGCTTTAATTTCAAAAGGTAGGGAAGAAGTGACAAGAGCAGCTACTTTAGCACTGCTTCATTTCCTTAACATAACTACTTATTCCATATCTTTCCATTCTTTCTAATTTCCCTTCTCATTGTTTATATTTTCCTTCTCCAAGATCTATGCTTCTAATTGCAAAATCTTCTGCCAAGCTCATCTACTGATGTTCTTCCGATCGTTCCACCAACACAAGCACTGCAACTTGTCATATGAAACTATCCCCGCTCTCCTCCCACTGTGTGCTGTTCTGGAGGTTCTACTGACCCATGCAAGCCAAATTCAGCAGGGCGGGGGGAAGAAAGCCCACAGGGCTTCTGCTGAGAGGGCTAGTTAGGTGAATCCCACCCTCAGTTCTCCACCCCTGTACTACAGGAAATAATGGTTGTACAAAAATATACATTACCTGTTTGTTTAGGCGTTGCAGTTGTACAGATTTCAACTTTAGTGACATACATACCCATCCACCCACCCAATCTAGAAATTTAACAACTCCAACAAATGTTGAAGCAGAAGGAGGGGAACTGTTTTTTCTCCAGAGTGCAGGGAGGAAATTTTGAGAGAAATTGAAATATACACTATATTTACAGCCCCAAATGCATAAATGCTTAAGACTGCAATCCTATGTGAACTTACCTAGGAATAAAGTAACTTATGAATGTACATGTATAGGATTTTGCTATTGGTATTATACAAACAAAATTGTGAATGTGGCCAATATTAAAGAGTTAGGGCTCCAAATTGTTGCAGCTTATGTTACCTAAGCACATGTATCTTAGTTTTTGCCATCTAAGTTGTTAGTAAAAATAAAGTTTGAATGTAGAAACCACACTTTTTTCACAAATGAAAGAAACAATTATTTGGGCAGAACCAGTCTTAAAGAAGGGCCTATATAGTCCTTTCCTAAAGATGGCAGAGCCCTCTAGGTGCAAAATGCATCTTAGATTTAAGTTCTGTATAGGTATACAGCAAAGGTGGGGAATCTGTGGCCCTTCAGAAGTGGTTGGACTCCAATTCCCATTAGCCCATGACCAATGAGAAGGGATGATGGGAGCTGCTGTCCAGTAACACCTGGCGGGCCAATGATGCTGTGCTCCTGGTCTATATGTAGGAATTATCACTCACTAATGTGCTGGTAACCTCAGGTCTTGACTACTGTAATGCGCTCTACATGCAGCTGGTCTGGCGGTTGCAGCTGGTACAGAATGCCACAGCCTGGTTGGTGTTCCTTATCGGGCAAATATCACGCTAGTGAAGGATCTGCAGTGGGTGCCTAACAGCTACCAATCCAGGTTTAAGGTTCAACTATTAACGCACAAAGCCCTAAAGAATTATTGGTTGTTACTGATTTTATTGTTTTAAATTTTTAAAACTGTTTTGTCATGCTTTATAACTGACTTAATTCATTGCAAATTTTGATTGCAGATGTTCTAAGGTTCTGATCAAATTGTTGTGCAGATTTCAATTATGCATTTTATAATTTACTTTATAGCTATAAACCATTTCAGCATGTAAGGTGAACAACAACCAATGCTATAGGCTAACGTACATAAAAATATTCTTATTACACATTTTGAGTGAGTAAAACTTTGCATTAAAACAAATTTCTGTCATTCCAAAAGATAAAATATATATTGGACTATATTTGGTTTTTTTGTTTGCAATAGTCCCCCAAATCCCCAATTTTTCTATTTTAAACAATTGGAGAGAAAGCTGGGGGGGGGGGGGAGGCTTGTCTATTTCCCAAAGCCCATTTTTTTCATTTTACCCCCAGACCTTTCAATCTCTCTCCATTGTTCACAAAGCTAAATATCTGATAAGAGAGAGATCCTTCTTGTACAATATTGCCTCAAGTTGAATTACCGTATTTTTCACCCTATAGGACGCACTTTTTCCCCTCCAAAAATGAAGGGGAAATCTGTGTGCGTCCTATGGGGCGAATACAGGCTTTCGCTGAAGCTTGGAGAGCGAGAGGGGTCGGTGTGCACCGACCCCTCTCCCTCTCCAGGCTTCAGGAAGCTATCAGCAAGCCTGGGGAGCCAGTGGGAGTTCCCGCAGGGCTCCCTAGGCTGCGGATAACAGCCTGCCACTCGACGCGCGGGGCGCCCTGAAGCAGAGCGCCCCGCGCGCCAGGCAGACATCGGCCAGCCCCACAAGCTCAGGGGACAGTGGGGAGGCGGTTTCCTTTATTTCCCCCCCCCCAAAAAAAAACTAGGTGTGTCCTATGGGACGAAAAATACGGTATATAAAATATTTAGTATCATCATTGGGGGTTTTAATGACTTAAACATTTGCTGTCTCTGGGCATTTGCCTGAACGTACAATGTTGCAAACTGAAGATGGGGGCAGGGATGGCACATAATCCTTAACTCCAACATTTGCAGGCGAAATGTTGCCCTTTAAAAATTCATGGAATAGGTGTCAGAGTCTGTAGAGAGATTCTAAGCATGTTCAGTTTAGCATACTTAGAAAGCCGCCCCACACACACACTACCAGGAATTCTGATAAATCAAGGATCCCAATCACAAGGACGTCTCTAAACACATTCAGAAAATTCTCTAAACCTTTGCATCTAAAGCGCAGCCTCTATACCCAGGGAAAATACAGGCATGGTCACATACACACTTTTGCCTCTCATTTACAACATTACATGTTTATGCAAACACCTGAATACCACTAGTATATGTCTGTCATTTTTCATGCTGGAGTTACAGTCTTGATTCTATGCATGCTATTTGAAAGAAATTACCACCAAGTTCAATGGTACATAAGTCAGTTAAGAGTTCACTGAACTTCAATCTGAAAGACTTATGATTAAAATATGTAAAGATCTATGAATGTATACACAGATGTGCTTGTACAAAGATTAAATTGAAACATTAATATTATGTAATAGATCAATACAAAAGGTTAGTTTGTACATAATCACCAACAATCGCATTCTCTAGGGGATGTGGCATCTCTAAGGTAAAGCTTCCATATGAAAAATTTTGGGATATGGGGGCCGGGGCAGGGACCAGAAACAGACCCTTACAGATTACCAGAAATAGCCTGCCTCTGAACAGAATATGAAGGGGTCAGAGCTAATAACACTAATCTAAAATTAAATAGCTTATGCACCACGTCATATATGATGTTGGGTGAGGGGCAAATTAAGGTGCAGCTGAGTCAAAAGGGGGCTTGCCATGTCTTACAAAGCCACATGCATTGTGCTCCAAAGCACTTGACAATCAGATGATTGTCAGATTACACCGGCCAGATCTAATTACACACCCCTGTCCTAGAGTAAAACAGAGTAGAAATTTTGTGTGAAGCAACACATGCATTATTACAAAATAAACTGTGGATAGGCTCTAAATGTGCATTGATAATTTGTGTGTTGTTAATTGTTTAGGACTGTAAACTGATATTATTGGTGAAGACCAGAGTCTAGCCACAATCAAGACTCAGGGTCCAAGGCTGCTGAGTCTTTAGCTAGGAGCCAGACAAAGAGCAAAACCAAGTTCAGGGGTCTGATCCTGCTGCTGGAGATCGGGAGACCACTGCACCCAAGGCTGACAGACAGAATCTCCCAGAAGAACCCCTGGAGCACCAGGTCCTGTAGGACCAAGGCCCATCATGGGAGTTCTCCCAAGACTCAAGAACCAAAGGCCTCCCGCAGTACCTAACCAGTTC